CATCTCTACACAAAATTTAAAAAATAAATTAGCTGGGCATGATGCACTCCAGACTGGACAACAGAGCAAGACCCCATCTCTAAAGAAAAAAATAATAATAATATTATTCATTGAATTACAAGAGGACCATGACAAACAGGAAGGAAAACTTAGAGTTTGAAATTGTAAGGTCATTATAATGAACTTTTAAATCATTTTAATAATTAAACTCTAGTCTGTGGAGCTGCAGGCACTGTACTACTGAAGCATCATGCTTTAGGGGGCATGATTCATTTTCCCAGAACCTACTGTAAGTCATTTGAAGAAAGGTCTCATCAAAATAAAATAAGTTTAATCCTTCAGTGGATAATAGCCCAATTATCTTAGATATGAAAGGAGTACTCAGTTCCAACACAAAGACATCTTGAAGGAAGACCTTGTATTTTCAAAAAGCAGAAGCTTCCAAAGACTTTAAAGGCTCCAGGTCATTCGGCATGATAGTTTCAGCCAATTCGAAAGCAGCACTTATGGAACTCTTAGCAGTCTAGGAACCTGAAATCCAATATCATTTCTTTGAAACAACTTGGCAAGTGATCCTACCATTCAAGTATTAGTTTATTCATCTGAAAAATGAGAATAATTATCTTTGTCTCCCACACTGGGAATGTGTAGGGGCAAACAGAAAACAGAGAACTTGGAAAAAGAGAAAGGAAAATAATACATTATTCTTATTTCAAATAAATTATTCAAAACATTTGTTTAAAGCATATGGGAATTTTCTAACTAATAAGCATTAGCTCATTCATCCACCTATCTCCATTTCCAAAGTAATCCAAAAGCCACCATTATTTCTTTCTTGGAGTACTGGAATAGACTCCTAACAGTTCTCCCTGCTTCTATTCTTGCCCTTCTCCAGTCCATTCTCCAGTAGCCAAAGTTATCTTTTCAGAACACAAAACAGGATTTCCTCTGTGGACATAAAGAAGAAACTAGTATTTGATTAGCCCTTGATACACACACACACACACACACACACACACACGATTCTAAAAATGGACAAAATATATGAAATAAATATCTTCTGATGTACACAGACAGTACATTACTATGATCCCTGAAAGAAGGCAACATTATGATTGCTCTTTCCTTCTGTCTGGAGGTAATTTCCAGTTACAGGACAGAGAAAGGGACCAAATAGAATTTAGCAATCTCACCAAACTGAGAACACAGAGATTGGAACTCAAAGTTATACAGGGTTTGTGGGGTAGTGTTGCAATGATCAGACCCAACACCAGGTCGTGGGGGTGACGAAGTCCAGCGGAGTCAAAGGAATGACAAAAAGACAGTTTGAGAGAGAAAGTGGGACCAAGGGGCCATTGTGAGTGTGGAGGCTGTGAAGGCCCGGAGCTCTGGGAGCCCTTGCTATTTGTTGGTGCTCAAACAAACAAACAAACAGGTCGTGAGGATGTGGGGGTGTATCAAGTGAATGAGAAACATATGGCTGCTTGAGATAACAGGAGTGCTGGAAGCAAAGAGCCCTGTCTCAGCTTCTCTCTCAACACCAGGCTTTTCTCCCAACAGGGTAGAGTACCATACAAAAGGGATCCATTCAGAGAAGGTGCACCAGAAATTTGCATAGGGTTCCCCTTAAGTCTTTGGCCAACTACTAAGCTGCACATGCATTGGTGAGATTCCATGAGACTGAGCAAAGAACAACTACTAAGGAACAAACAACTATCAGAGATTAAATTGGGCAGAGAGATGTTTAAATTCCCACAGATCAGAGTGAACAGACTCTGTTGAACACCCTGGGCATTCAGTAGAGACCCCAGAAAGATTTTGTCTTATGAAATGTACTAGTATTTAGGTTGTTCTAGAGTCTCTCTAACAAAATGTAAAAACATGCCTCAAAGGGATCAAATTGATCCTCAAGTAAATTAACTCCCTGCTTAAAAAAATAATGACTTGCTTAAACAAAACTGAACACTTTATTAAGGAAGACAACAAAATCTAGACACTTAACAACATGGCATCCATAATGTCCAACGTACATTAAAAAGTTACTAGATGGAAAACAAAGCAGGAAAATTTAACCATAACCAGGAGAAAAACTTACCAATAGAAATAGGCCCATAATTTCCAAGATGATGGAATGAATAGACAAAAGCTTTGAATAAGCCTTTATAAATATGTTCAAGGACTTAAAGGAAGACACAATATAATAAAGGAGATTTAAATTCAAGGATTGAAAAACACAATATTTGAGGACATCTAATTCCAGGAAGATGTAGTAGATGTACTTTTCTCTGTTTCTTCCACTAAAACAAAAAAACAGTGGACTGTATATATAAAGCAGATACAAGAAGGTTCTGAAAGATGGAGAGAAAAAGGCAGACTGATTAGGGACCTCAGGACCTGAGGAATGACTCTGATGAATTCCCTGCATTTTCTTTTTGCTCATATATCGCAAACAACTACTATAAGCAGAGGATGGTGAATGGATGTAAAGAGAGATATAGTTTCTACACTTCACTAGAACTGGTAAAATAACATCAGTAGACTGTGGTAAGTTGTGTATATGTAATAAAATACCTAGGGTAACCACTAAAAGCTTTTCCCCAAGATAAGGAACAAGGCAAGAATGTCTCTCTCACCATTTTTATTCAACATTGTGCTAGAAGTTCTAGCCAGTATAATAACATAAGAAAAGGAAATAAAGGTATAGAGATCTGAAAGGAAGACATAAAACTGTTTCTATTTGCAGATGCCATGATTGTCTACATATAAAATCCCCAGGAATCCACAAAAAAATATTTATTTATTTATAGAGACAGGGTCTCACTCTGTTGCCTGGACTGGAGTGCAGGGGCACGAACTCAGCTCACTTCAACCTGCACCTCCCAGGTTCAAGCAATTCTCCTTGCCCCAACCTCCCAAGTAGCTGGGATTACAGGTGCCCACCACCATACCTGGCTAAATTTTTTTTTTTTTTTTTTTTTTTTTGAGACAGAGTCTCACTCTGTCACCTAGGCTGGAGTGCAGTGGCCGGATCTCGGCTCACTGCAAGCTCCACCTCCCGGGTTCACACCATTCTCCTGCCTCAGCCTCCCGAGTAACTGGGACTACAGGCGCCCACCACCTCGCCCGGCTAGTTTTTTTTGTATTTTTTAGTAGAGACGGGGTTTCACCGTGTTAGCCAGGATGGTCTCGATCTCCTGACCTCGTGATCTGCCCGTCTCGGCCTCCCAAAGTGCTGGGATTACAGGCTTGAGCCACCACGCCCGGCCAATTTTTTGTATTTTTAGTAGAGATGGGGTTTCACTATGTTGGCCAGGCTGGTCACTTTGCATTTTTTATAGCTTTATTGAAATACGTTTCATATAACATAAATGTCACCCATTTAAAATGTACAGTTCGGTGGTTTTTAGTATATTCACCCAAGTTGTGCAAGCATCACCATAGTCTAATGTTAACATTTTTAACACGCCCGAAAGAAATCTTATACACATCAGTAGTCATTTCCCATTCCTGCCCTACCACCATGCAACCACTAATCCATTTTCTCTCTGTGAATTTGCCTATCCTGAGGCACTTCCCTTGTGACCCAGAAATCCTACATCTAAGAATCTCCAACAATATGAAAATACATATGCACACAATTATTCATTGCAGCATTGTTTGCATTTGTAAAATATGAGAAACAACCTAAATACCTATGCACAGGACAGTGGGTGCATAAACCAAGGAACAGCCACACAATAGGGTACTATGCAACTGTAAAATAGTATCAGGATGATCTCTATTAACTGATATGGAGTGATTTTGAGAGGTGATAATGTGCTAGCAGCCCTCACTCTCGGTGCCTCCTCGGCCTCAGCATCCACACTGGCAGCGCTTGAGGAGCCCTTCAGCCTGCCACTCCACTGTGGGAGCCCCTCTCTGGGCTGGCCGAGGCCAGAGCTGGCTCCCTCTGCTTGCGGGAAGGTGTGGAGGGAGAGGCGCAGGCAGGAGGCACCCACAGGCCATTGCAAGTTCCGGTGGGCGCTGGTGCGGGCTTAGAGGGCCCCACACTCAGAGCTGCTGGCCAGCTCCACCGGCCCAGGGCAGTGAGGCACTTAGCACCCGGGCCAGCAGCTGCGGAGGTTGCATCGGGTCCCCCAGCACTGCAGGCCCGCATGCACCACGCTTGAATTCTTGCTGGGTCTCAGCTGCCTCCCCGCTGGGCAGGGCTTGGGACCTACAGCCCACCTTGTCTGAGTCCCCACTCCACAGTGGGCTCCCACATGGCCTGAGCCTCCCCAACGAGTGCCACCCCCTCCTCCATGGCACTGGGTCCCATCAACTGCCCAGGGGCTGAGGAGTATGGGTGCACAGCGGCGCAGGACTGGCAGGCAGCTCCACCCCCAGACCCAGTGCGGGATCCACTAGGTGAAGCCAGCTGGGCTCTTGAGTCTAGTGGGGACTTGGAGAACTTTTATGGAGAACTTTCATGTCTAGCTAAGGGATTGTAAATACACCAATCATCACTCTGTGTCTAGCTCAAGGTTTGTAAATACACCAATCAGTACTCTGTATCTAGCTAAGCTAGTGGGGACTTGGAGAACTTTTCTGTCTAGCACTCTGTGTCTAGCTAAAGGATTATAAATGCACCAATCTGCACTCTGTGTCTAGCTCAGGGTTTGTAAATACACCAATCAGCACTCTGTGTCTAGCTCAGGGTTTGTAAATACACCAATCAGTACTCTGTATCTAGCTAACCTAGTGGGGACTTGGAGAACTTTTATGTCTAGCTAGAGGATTGTAAATGCATCTACCAGCACTCTGTGTCTAGCTCAGGGATTGTAAAATGGACCAATCAGCTCTCTGTAAAATAGACTAACCAGCTCTCTGTAAAATGGACCAATCAGCTCTCTGTAAAATAGACCAATCAGCTCTCTGTAAAATGGACCAATCAGCAGGATGTGGGTGGGGCCAGATGAGGGAATAAAAGCAGGCTGCCCAAAGCAACCAGCAGGGACCCAATTGGGTCACGTTAGAAAGGGTGTAAGATTTGTTGTGTCTCTCTTTGCAATAAATCTTGCTGATTGAAAAAGCTGTAACACTCACTGCTAAGGTCTGCAGCTTCACTTGTAAAGCCAGCGAGCCCACGAGCCCACAGGGAAGAATGAATAAGTCCAGACGTGCTGTCTTTAAGAGGTGTAACACTAACTACGAAGGTCTGCAACTTCACTTCTGACAGCGAGACCACGAACCTGCCAGAAGGAAGACATTCCAGACACGTCTGAATGTCTGAAGGAGCAATCTCCGGACATACCATCTTTAAGAACTATAACACTGCGAGGGTCCAGGGCTTCATCTTGAAGTTACACCGAGAACGCACTAATTCTGGACACAATTTCCATGAAAGCCAAGTGCAAAAGAGTGTCTATATAGCACGTGTCATAGCCTAAATTTTGTCCCTACTGCCAAAAGGTATATATTGAAGTCCTAACACCCACCACCTTAGAATGTGACTCTTATTTGGAGATGCAGGGTTTACAAAGGTGATTAAATTAAAACGAGGCCGTTAAGATGGGTCGTAATTCAATCTGACTGGTGTCCTTACAAGAAGAAAAAATTTGTTTTTTTGTTTTTAATCTTCTTTCTCTGCAATTCTAGCCTAAGAGGAAATTTGAACAGAGAGATATCAACAGCATGTGCACAGAGGAGAGACCGTGTGAGGACATAGAAGGCAAACATCTGCAAGTCAAAGAGAGGCCTCAGAAGAAACCACACCTGTCAGTAACTTGACCTTGAGCTTCCAACTGTCAGAATGTGGGACAATACATTTCTGTTGTTTAACATTTTTGTGTTTAACCAACCCAGTTTGTAGTATTTTGCTTCGGCAGCTCTAGCAAACAAATAAAGCGTGTGTCATTTTATGTAATAAAGGATGTAATAAAATATACATGTGTCTGCTTATTTGTGCAAAGGACATACAGGAAGGATAAACCAGACATTAATAAAATTGTTTACCTACAGGGGATAGGTGGAAAAAAAAGGGATGAAATACGGTAGCAGAGATGGAGGAGGGAAATGATTCTTCACAGAGTATACTTTGTTGTCTGACTCTTAGAATAAAAGAGTAAGTAGGCCAGGCACCGTGGCTCACAACTGTAATCCCAGCACTTTGAGAGGCTGAGGCAGGTGGATCACTGGAGGCTAGGAGTTCGAGACCAGCCTGGCCAACATGGTGAAACGCCCTCTGTACTAAAAAGTTAGCTGGGCGTGGTGGCACGCTCCTGTAATCCCAGCTACTTGGGAGGCTGAGGCAGGAGAATTGTTTGAACCCGGGAGGTGGAGGTTGCAGTGAGCCGAGATTGTGCCATCTAGCCTGGGCAACAGAGAGAGATTCCATCTCAAAAAAAAAAAAAAAAAAAAAAAAAGAATAAGAGAATAAGTATACCAAATAATACCCTGGTATGATTTACCATACACAAAAATAAAGAATTTTTTTAAAAAAATCAGGTTGTGAGGTGAACTCAATATGAAATAAAAAAGGAACAAATAGGCCGGGCGCGGTGGCTCAAGCCTGTAATCCCAGCACTTTGGGAGGCCGAGACGGGCGGATCACGAGGTCAGGAGATCGAGACCATCCTGGCTAACACAATGAAACCCCGTCTCCACTAAAAATACAAAAAAATTAGCCGGGCGTGGTGGCGGCGCCTGTAGTCCCAGCTACTCGGGAGGCTGAGGCAGGAGAATGGCGGGAACCCGGGAGGCGGAGCTTGCAGTGAGCCGAGATCGTGCCACTGCACTCCAGCCTGGGCGACAGAGCGAAACTCCGCCTCAAAAAAAAAAAAAAAAAAAAAAAAAGGAACAAATGAACCTAACTTTATTACAAATGAATAATACTATCACACTGAGGTGGATAGAAAAGAACTAACAGAAGAAACTTCGGAAAACAGTATTTTGACTCTAGAAGGTTAAAGATGAAAAATTGTACACAAATACTGTACTCTAATTAGGAAATTTATTCCTTACATTGGGTACAGGTTAGCATTCTTAAATTACTTTTATGTATACACTAAGATTGAATAAATAACTAAATGTATTCAATAACGAGAACCAGGTTTATCATGTAGGAGAAAGAAGTTATAAATAAAGAAAAGGGGCAGGCCAGAATGAATTCTGTGGGGTTGGATTGGAACTGGAGGTATCGGTATGATGTCATGTTTTTAATATATATATAAATGGATAGATACAGAAGATCAGTATAGATGTGTATATAGCTGTGTTTTAGTATACACAGACATATACACACACATACCCTGATATCAGTGTGTCATTGCTTTTAGTCATTTCAGAAGATTGAAGAGTGTGTGTGTGTGTGTGTGTGTTTTGTGTAGTTTAAAAAACTACCAGAGAAGATATCTCTATTCCTTGAGGATTTCGTAGTTCATAGAATGTATCATTCCACTTTAATGACATCTTCAAAAAGATAAAACTATAGTACAAAACCATAATGATAGAGACAAAATGAGTGCTTGCCAGGGGTTAGTTAGGGATAGGGATGAAGACATGGAATATGACTACAAAAGAGTAGACAAGGCCAGGTATGGTGGCTCATGCCTGTAATCTCAGCATTTTGGGAGGCTGAGGCAGATGGATCACCTGAGGTTAGGAGTTCAAGACCATCCTGGCCAACATGATGAAACCCCATCTCTAATAAAAATACAAAAATTAGCGGGCATGGAGGTGGGTGCCTGTAGTCCCAGCTACTCAAGAGACTGAAACGGGAGAATTGCTTGAACCCGGGAGGCGGAGGTTGCAGTGAGCTGAGACGGTGCCACTGCACTCCAGCTTGGACGACAAAGTGAGACTCCATCTCAAATAAATAAATAAACAGACAAGAGAAATTTTTGTGGGGATGGAATGGTTCTATATCCTGTTTGTGGTGGTGGTGATGTGAATCTAGACATGTATTAAAATGAACTGTATACCATAAAATTCCATTTTAGTATATGTTCTTTTTTTTGAGATGGAGTCTTGCTCTGTCTCCCAGGCTGGAGTCCAGTCACATGATCTTGGCTCCCTGCAACCTCTGCCTCCCAGGTTCAAGTGATTCTCATGCCTCAACCTCCTGAATAGCTGGGATTACAGACACACACCACCATGCTCAGCTAATTTTTGTATTTTTGTAGAGACGGAGTTTTGCCATGTTGGCCAAGCTGGTCTCAAACTGACCGCAAGTGATCTGCCAACCTCGGCCTCCCAAAGTGCTGGGATTACAGGCATGAGCCACTGTGCCTGACCTAAAAAATTATTCATAGAACCAGGACTCCTTATAGAAATGGTTAATTCAATGAACTGATTGAACATCCCAAATCCCAAATCCAAAATGCTCCAATGGGCTTTTCCTTTGAGTTTCATGTCAGCACTCAAAAAGCAGCAGCTTTTGGAACATTTCAGATTTTCAGATTAGTGATTCTCAACTTGTATCAATCACTTGATCTTCCTAGTCCTTTGGTAAACAAGCCAAAGGTATAGGATGTCTCTGAATTTCGCTGAAAAACTGGGTTGCCAATGTTGATGGAAATGTGAAAAGTGAATGGGACTTTCCAAAATATAGAAGTATATAATAGCCTGATAAATTGGAAAGAGCACTGGGTAAGACATCAAAAAACACCCAAGTATATTTCACAGTTCTGCCACTAACTAACCACTTAATTGCTTTAGGCTAAATTTGTTTTTTTTAATACGTAAAACAAAAGTTATATACTATATTATCTCCAAGAATTTTTTTTTTTTTTTTTAAACAAAGTCTCTCTCTGTCGCCCAGGCTGGAGTGCAGTGGTGTGATCATGGCTCACTGCAGCTTTGACCTACTGGGCTCAAGCAATCCAGAGTAGCTGGGACCACAAGCATGTGCCACCACACCTGGCCAATTTATTTATTAATTGTAGAGACAGGTCTCATTATGTTGCCCAGGCTGGTCTCAAAGTCATGGCCTCAAGTGATTCTCCCATCGTGGCCTCCCAAAGTGCTCAAATTATAGGTGTGAGCCACTGAGCCCTACCAGAGCTCTTCTAATAGTAAAGTTCTGTGAGGTAGAAATGGAGATAAAAGTGGAAATGTTTTGCCCAGCAAAATTCCCTATGCCCAACATAGTCATATGTGCTCAAGGATAGACAACAAAAAGTATTTAGAGTACTTATCTATCTCATTTATCCACAGAGAGTGAACAAAGCCCCCCCTGGCTTCAGGAATATCTCCTCTGGTGTGTGGAAAGCTCCTGCAGCTATGAAGGAAATGGCACCAGTAGCTCCAGAAGACTCAGGAAAGCTTTCAAATCCAATGGGATGGCTATACAGGTCAGTAAAAGAAAAAGTACAGAGGAAAGAAAATTCTTTTGTGTGTATCACATTCTGTGCTAATTATATAACTATCTCATTTACTCTTTGCTTATGATGTAGGTTTACTCTTCTCATTTTAAAAATACTTTTTGCATCAATAAGAAAGTGAGGGTCTCAGAGTTTAAGTGATTGGAAGTCTGTGCACTGTCTATATTTCATTCCATCTCTGTCCAGAGAGTCAAATTCTTTCATGAAACATTTCTACCCCTTCTGTAGAACCTTCTCTGACCATCCTGGCCCACAATGATTTCTTCTTCTGAGCCTCTCTAGTGCTTATTGCCTGTACCACCAATTTCACACCTGTAACACTTTGCAATGTTGGTTATATTTGACTTATATATCAATCAGTAAGCATTTATTGAACAGCCACCATGGACCCCCTAGGCAGTGGGGATATACAGGTGAATAAGACACAGCCCCTGAACTCAGGAGTTAAAATCTAATAGAGGAAACAACCCCACTGGCAGTGAATAAACACCCCAGGTCGGGCGCAGTGGCTCACGCCTGTAATCCCAGCACTTTGGGAGGCCAAGGCAGGCAGATCACCTGAGGTCAGGAGTTCGAGAGCAGCCTGGCCAATATGGCGAAACCCCGTTTCTACTAAAAATAAAAAAATTAGCCGGTGTGGTGGCAGGCACCTGGAATCCCAGCTACTTGGGGGGCTGAGGCATGAGAATCGCTTCAACCCAGGAGGCTGAGGTTGCAGTAAGCTGAGATCATGCTATTGTACTCCAGCCTAGGTGACAACAGCTAAACTCTGTTTCAAACAACAACAACAGCAACAACAAAAAACAGTTTATAAACACCCCAATCCATTCTAAGAGTAAATTACTTTCTCTACTTCTCTCTCCCCTAGTTTGGAACACTTACATTTCAGCTCTCAGGAAAAAAAAAAAAAAAAAAATATATATATATATATATATATATCTCATACCAATTAAGCCTGAAAGTAGCAAAACCAAGCCTTAAGGGAAAAGGAAAAGGAGAATTTTAACTAATAAACTACAGCAGCAAATACCCTATATCCTGTTTGTGGTGGTGGGGATGTGAATATAGACATGTATTAAAATGAACTGTATACCATAAAATTCCATTTTAGTATATGTTTTTTGTTGTTGTTGTCGTTGTTGTTGTTTGAGATGGAGTCTTGCTCTGTCTCCCAGGCTGGAGTCCAGTCGCGTGATCTTGGTTCACTGCAACCTCTGCCTCCTAGGTTCAAGTGATTCTCATGCCTCAACCTCCTGAGTAGCTGGGATTACAGGCACGCACCACCATGCCCAGCTAAGGACACCATGCCTACCAAGGACAAAACACTGCAGAGGTAACAATTGACTTAAAACTTAAATTCTCTTAAGGGATACTGCTTTTCCCAGGCAGAGCAGGCAGAGGGGGTTTCTGCCAAACTCTCAGCCCTGTGGCAACATACAATGGCGGGTGGGGCCAGGCATGGCTAGGGGACAGAGGCAGGAAGAGGATTACTTGAGGCCAGAAGTTCAAAGGCCAGTCTGGGCAACAAAGCGAGACCCCATCTCTACTAAAAAAATGAAGAG